GAACCTTCCTTGCATTGGTCTCACTTTCGAAAATATGTATCCTTATATCATGCGATGATTGGGAAGATGACTTTCGCACAAATTTTTTACGCGTTTCACATGATGATAGAGGAATCAATATACAGGGTGCCCGGTCGTTTGCGTTTCACCACTCGTGGGCAAGTCTCTTGAGTCAATACACGCCTATATCGTTGCGAGGCGAGAATACGTGCGTAAATAATGTTGATTGAAAATAGAAGTTAGATATTTTCAAAAAAGACTGAATTCTAAGAAAAGAATACAATATATATGTAAAAAAACTGTTAATCTCGGCTCGAATTATTGTGTTACAATAAAAATAAAATCTCGACGGCAATCGGAGCCTGTGCGGATGGCATGCACAAAATTAATAAATTAAAATGAGATCTCAAATCAAACTCATTTATTAAATTCTAAACGTTTCGACCCACTTCGGGTCTTCTTCCGCAAATAAATTAAATATCATTCTCCTCCCTATTCAAACCGTCCGGCCGTCGGAGTGTCTCCCTAACGGTGACCATCGTCAGGAAGGAAGCAAAGCAGTGACTCCCTTACCAACACCCGACAGCAAAAACAGAGAGAAGACGATGCTACACGTGACACATCACTCTAACGACTGATATATATGTACGGTGTCTGACATAAAGTGTCAGACCGAAAATGTATAAGATATGCATGTAAATCTCGTTATTTTGAGGCAATTTTTCCTCAGCAAAAATGTCGAGGAAAGCTATCAATTTTGCATATTTCCAATTTTTGCCATCGCATGTAACTTTATAACTAAACTTTAAATTAAAATTTTATTGAAATAAACTCTACTTGAAATTAATTGGAGAATATGGTTTTGTTAATATTTCATTTTCACAAGACTTAGTTTGCGAAAAGCCCTTTATTTTCAATTGCCTATAACTCGAAAATTATAGATGCCTCAATATTTTTGCTTAGGATAAATTGTCTCCAAATAACAAGATCTATTTGTATATTTTTTTTTATATATTATCTTATATATCAGACACTCTGTATATACACATAAAAACTTTAATCACTATGCTTTGATTATTTTGACTGTATAGATTGTTAATCAGACAAACACTCACAATTATAGTTTAACATTTTTTAAAAGTGCTTATAAAGTGCTATTAAAAATATGTTTATAAAATAATATATATATACATATATTATATATATATATATATATATATATATATATATGTATATGTGTAGTAATCAGAGACGCGGACCGTACCAGAACCGAAACCGCTAACCGTTCCATATATACCGTTTTTTTAGTAGGACCGAAACCGTAAATCGTATTGAAATTCTATTAAATTTATAACACCGAAACCATAACCGGATTGTATTCGGTATTTCTTTTCGGTTTTTGCGCAAAAGACAAAAATGTCTATATTTCTCAGAAATGTATATATTTTATATTTTTATAAAAAGACATATGAATTGAATCTCGAAATTATTATAATTATAATTATTGTCTGCCTCTTTTTATAACAGAAAGAACCATTCTAGTAATGGCAATAAAAAAAACGAAGAGAATTCCGATAAAAATGAATCGCCTGTAAAACGTTCCAAAATCACTAAGGATTAGGATTAGGCAACTTGATGTTGATTTTTGCATTCATTATTTGATATCTCGAAGTGCAATTTTTCTTATAACGTATAAGTTTCCTTATACTTGTAACAAAATTTATTTATGATATGAAGTAACTATAGATACATGATACATAAATATATTTTCATATATGGTATAGTGTTGTTTATTTATACCATTAGATTCAAACTTTTTAAAATAACAATTAAAAACTTAATATATTTAGAAAATAACTTGAATAAAAATTAATTTAATTTAAAAAAGGTAATAATTTTAAAAAACCGGAACCGTAACCGTAAATATACCGTAATTTAAACGGTTTCGGTTTCCTTTATTTATCAAGAAACCGAAACTGGAACCGAAACAGTTATTGAATATTTTATTAAACCGTAACTGAAACCGAACCCTAATTCTGTTTCGGTCCGGAAGTAATTATTAATACCATTTGATATTTTATATTTATTGTATGATTTCTCTGTAGTTTTCCACTAAAACACAATAATAAATACAAATAGGCACTATTTGATTAAAAAATTATTTAAATAAAATTTAAATACATTTGAAATAAAAATTTAATCAAATACCTTTTGCAAATAACTTTTTAAAATAATTTTTATCTAATTTTTAAATAATTTTTATTTATTAGAATACATTATTTGCAAATAATAGTTTCATATAGAATTGTCATTGTGTACGTACTATATATATATACAGGGTAGGCCATTTTAAAAAAATACGATCATGTCCGGATCTTGTCTTAACTAGATATAACTAGATCATGCTTGGACTTTGCCCTGATTGGTCGGAGCATGTAAAATAAGACTATCGGAAAGTGAATATTTTAAGAAATATTTTGTATTTTTATCAAAATGTAGTAACTTTTGAGCTTTATAACTCGAAAAGTACGCAATGGAAAAACATTTGACTGTAGTGTTTTGGAAAGCTCTCGAGATCAGCTACAAGAATATGTAATAAAAAATAAGGGGTGCCATTTAAAAAAATTGAGGTGACCTTTGCGTGACCTTCAACTGAATATCCAAGGTCAAACTAATGGCACCATCTTATAGCCCCTTCGAAACCATACAACACATGTTTGAACCATTTTTCGATATTTCGTTTAGTTTACGAGAAAATTGATCGTATTTTTTAAAATGACCCACCCTGTATATATATATATATATATATATATACAATAATATACATGTACATATACATATATATACGCAGGGTGCCCGGTGACTCGCGTATCACCTCTCGTAGGCAGGTAGAGTAGGTTAAACTGAGTAGAAAAGTCCTGTACCATTTTGCGAAATTCTTAATATTAATGAGAAATTAAGATTGATTTAATAAAGATCGACCACTAAATACGCTTACAAGTATGTGGCGAAAAGAGACAGTCCATATAATTACACCATTGCTAAGCGCGCCGTGAAGCGGGAAGAGGGGCGCTTATGCAGTGACACATACATTCGACTGTCATATTAGCAACGGTGTAATTATATGGGCTGTCTCTTCTCACCGCATGCTTGTAAGCGTATTTAGTGGTCGATCTTTATTAAATCAATCTTAATTTCTCATTAATTATTCAGAATTTCGCAAAATGGTACAGGACTTTTCTACTCGGTTTGACCTGCTCTACCTGCCTACGAGAGATGATACACCAGTCACCGGACACCCTGTATACATATATACATATATAATTATTATATAATATATATATATATATATATATATATATATACACATGTATATTAAAATATTAACTCACAATCAATGCCTAGGTTGCATAATCCTGTTAAAGAATTCTAATAACTTATTCAATATTATATACATATTTAATGTGACGTTTTTCTTATTATTTGTTATTATAGAAGAATATATGAATTGCTATTAAAATAACTTAAAATGTTTTCCTGAAATTAATTGAAAATTATTTGTTTTTTGTTAGTCAAATAAAAGTTTATTTGAAAATAATTATTTGAATTTTTTTCTAAATAATTTATTTTCAAATAAATTATTTGAATTTGTTCCTATTATAACAACTAATTTTTTAATATTATTTGCAAATAACAAATAAAAAAGTATTTGAATTATATTTCATTTTCAAATATTATATTTTATTTGTTATTCAAATAAAAAGTGCTCATCTCTGCAATGGTTGCAAGCAATACCAAAGGATTTAATAGAACTGCCGCTATAACATATATTTGCAGCAAACATTGTGGTGATTATATCGAGACGACATATTCAATCGTAATAACCGAATCACATACAGACATACAGAGGCGAAAACAAAGATCGATACGCGAGGTAAAGTAAATACGAAATAAACACAACGGACGAGACAGGAAAATAAAAATACGAAAACGAGATATACGATAGGATTGAAGGAATAATCTTCTTAATAGCGCGTGCTTGTGTTATCTAATATAAGTAAAAAATAAACTTTTTCTCCGCGAGGGTACATAATTTTAATTTGCTGAGTTTCAATTATATACATGACTTTAATTCTCGAATTTCTATTATATACATAATAATAGAAATTGGGAATTCAAATTATGTACATAATAGAACACATTATTGTTACATTACGAGGTGCTCAAACGCTACGCACCTACTCTAACCACGAATATATCGCAACGCGTTAGCATCCAATCATCCAGCATCGCAGAAAACAACGCTTCGAAATATTCAAGTAATCGACTAACATACACTTTTTAAGGAAACAAAGGAAAATGTAAAGTCTTTCAAATTATTTTATGATCTCACGCACCAACGAGAACTAAAGTGATGATTTTGACGTGATCTGTGCATAATAGAAAAGACCTTTTCTGACAATCGAGTGTGAAAATCAGTTCGCGATCGGTTGTCAAGTACGAGAAGAAAAATATTATTTCGGGACGACGAAGCGATTGGTCCGCAGATTGTATATATAAAATTCTGCGCGACTTCGAATTTTGTTACGCGTACATCAGTGATATCTTCGTTGCATCGTCGTCGCAAGAGGAACATTATAAGCATCTACGAGCGTTATTTGAGCGTCTGCGAGAATACGGAATAATGATCAACCCCGCGAAATGCGTGTTCGGCTGTCGGAAGGTAGAATTCATCGGATACGAGATTTTCGATGAGGGGATTCGACCGCTGTCACTCGCCTGCGAGTGGATACGATCTTTGTGTGTCAGATAGATCCGAATAATCCGAAGAGAGATCTCTGGAGATATTTAAGCATGGTAAATTTTTACTAAAGATTCCTGCCAAAAGCCGCCGAGATTTTGGCACCACTCAACGACCTCCTCCATAGCAATGTGAAGGGCAAGACGTCGATATCGTGGACGCCGCGGATTCAACGAGCATTCGAGACATCGAGGGAAAGCTTGGTCGAAGCCGCACTTTTGAGGCACCTCAGGATGAACGCGGAGCTCGCTTTGTTTACCGACGCGTCCGAATAAAGCATCGGCGCGATCTTACAACAGCGAGGCAGCGACGGCTGGGAGCCGTTAGTTTTCTTCTCGAAGAAGCTAAGTCCAGTCGAATTAAAATATAGCGTTTTCGATAGAGAGCTGTTGGTGATATACCTGGTGGTCAAGCATTTTCAACATTTGTTGGATGCACGCATATTCGCGATACATAAGCCGATAATTTTACTTTTCGACAGAAACTCTTCGAGAAGAGCTTGCCGCGCCAGTTCCGTCATTTGGACTATAACGGACAATTTACTACTGACATTCGGCACGTGACGGGCGAGAAGAATGTCGTGGTGGACTGTCGAGGACGCACTGTCGAGGATCGAGGAGTTGCGTTCTTTTGCTGCACTGGCGGAGTCGCAGGAAGATGACGAGAAGCTCAAGAGGTATTTGCAGTGAGAGTCTGAACTTTGGTCTCGACAAGGTGAAGATTCCCGGAACCGGAATAGCAATATACTGCGACACAGCAACGCTAACGCCATGACCGTTTTTTAATAAGGCCTTTTTGCCGAACCGCATTCGACCTGGTGCATAACCTGGCGCATCCAGGAATAAAATCGACGAGTAAGCAGCGCTACGTTTGGCCGTCAATGAATATGGACCGTTGCGTAATTAAGTTTATTCTTGTGTGCCCTACTAGCAATCCAAGGTGTCGCGGTATGTCTCGGCACCGCTAGATTTGCTGCTCCATCCAGCAGATTCGAGCACATCCACCTGAACATCATCATAATGGCAGTCTCACAGGGTGATATTGTTTCACGTGTGTGGAGTGTTTCACACGATGGCCTGAAGCGGTTGCGAGAGTGTTCTACGAGGGATGGATCTGCCGATTCGGGTCGCCTCTCTAATTTACGATGGCCAGTTCGAGTCCAATCTTTTCCGACGGCTGAGCGAGATCACGAGAGCACGATACTTGAGGACGACGGCATACCACCCACAGGCGAACGGAATGGTCGAACGGTTCTATCGCCAGCTCAAGGCGGCGATCAAGTGCCAGCAAAACAGCCGCTAGACCGAGGTGCTGCCGACTGTTCTACTCGGGATCCGAGCAACATGGAAGGACGACATATGGGCGACTATAGTCGAGCTGGTGTATGGCCAGACATTGAGAATCCCGGGACAGTTCCTGAGTCGGCGACTGACGAATGACGAGGACGACGCCGCCGATTTTGCTGGAGCGCTAAGCAAATAGCTTCAGAGACTGCGACCGATGGACGGGATTCGACACGGCGAGCGACGGCCGTTCGTTTGCAGGGATTTGGCGACGGCCGAGCAGATTTTCATGCGACAGGGCGGACCAAAGACAATGTTGCAGGCGCCATGTGAAGGACTATACGCGGTAGTCAGCCGCAGCGACAAGGTCATTGTCGTGCGTGTGCACGGCAAGGGCAAAACGATTATAATAAACCGTCTAAAGCCCGTGTATATTCTTTAAGAGCACGAGTTAGGAGGCAGCGGGGAGGAGTCGGCAACGCATGGCCATGATGACGAGATCGATCGATGGAGTGCGCGCCGGCTTGGGGAGAGATGCCAATTCACCCATAGCAACGGGCAACGGGCAACCGTGTGTGGTGGAGGTGAGCCGTAACGCAAAACGGCCTTTAGGTTCGGCTGGTCTCGGCTAGCTTCGGGCTTTGGATAATAGAAAAAGACAGATATATTTTCTGTTCTTCTCACTCACCGATAATAAGATGACGAATTGTTCCTTCTTGCTTCTCGCTTTTTATATGCGTGACAGTGTTAAATGTTTTTTTCACAGCTCTTTACTTATTGTAATATTATATTATAAATTTATATTCATATTATAATATTTAAATAAAATTCATATTTATATTATATAATATAATTATATGAATATAATTATGGAAAATATAATATAGAAAGAGATAGTATTAAAAATATAATATTAAAAAATAATAAAATATTTAAAATCAATAATAATCCTTAAGGTTGCCAGTAATAATTAATAAAAAACCACTCCTCAACGTTTAAAGTCGACCAGACTGGCGATAATTTATTATAAATAATTATTTGAAATACAACGTTTCGGCTGTCATTGCAGCCCTTTTCAAGTACATCAAATTTCAAACAGTAAATCAACTTAATCAAAACAAGCGTTAACATTGTCGGTCGTTTGCATAGAAGTTGATTTACTGTTTGAAATTTGATGTACTTGAAAAGGGCTGCAATGACAGCCGAAACGTTGTATTTCAAATAATTATTTATAATAAATTATCGCCAGTCTGGTCGACTTTAAACGTTGAGGAGTGGTTTTTTATAAAATATTTAAAAATTGTAAAAAATTTCAATCTTTTTTGCACAATAACAATTATACAACAATAACAAATATCAACAATAACAATAACAACAACAATAATAACAATAACAAAGATCAAACAATGCTCACGTAATTGATTCAGCTTCCTGTGTGTATCAAGATTTTATAAGATGTATAAAATAATACGTTAAATCGCAAGTATATAAGATATCACAGAAATGCCACGAAAAAATTTCACAGAAAAATCGCAAAAGTGACTTACGTAAAATAGTACAGAATAATAAATAAATCACCCAAATATACTTCGATTTAAGTGCTTGATGATTTCAAGAAAAGAGGCTTTGATTATATAAAATCATGCATTATATATTCTAAGAGTTAAGTGCTCTTTTCATGAAGATAAAAATTTCAATATTTTTCAAATTAAATTGTTTTTATATCATGTGTATGTGTTTCATACTTGATAATGCAGAAAACTTTATATATATATATGATATAACGCCCAAGTATGAAACACATACACATGATATAAAAACAATTTAGATGGAAAAATATTTTATTATACATGATATAACGCTTTTACATTATGAAGTATAAAACACATACACATGATATAAAAATAATTTAAATTGAAAAATATTTATATTATATATGATAAAACGCTTTCTACATTATCAAGTATATGAAACACATACACAACGAATACATGTCAAAACAAAACAAAATACGGAGAAAAGAAAAACAGGCAATCGGTTATCGATTCAGTTTGCTGTTTAAAGTGCGAAACGTGAAACACTATAGCATAAAGTGTCCCGTAAAATATGTAATTATTACTTTTGTAAAAAAAAATATTTTGAGAAAGTGCATATTTAGTTTTTATCTTCTTTAATTTGTATAATGTTTATTTTATTTTTATTTCAGAAAGAGATAATTTGGAGCAGTTGATACAACAATTGTTGCAGCAACAAAATATAATAATAGGACAAGTACAATCATTGTTACGGCAGCAGCAGCAAGAACAACATGCAGCAGCAGCAGCTGCAGCCGCCGGAATGCAAGCCGCCGGCCAAAAAAAGGTACATTATTTTATTTATTCATTTTAGTTTATATATATACTATATATACCCTATACATTATTATATCATTTACTTATTACTTATTTATATTTTCAGAAACACAATAAATCGTGCCAGGTTTTTTAAATGGCGGGATAGCAGAGCACGAAGTTCGACACCGACACCGACGACATCGACCGCTAATGTCTCCAGCGACCGAGAAGAAAGAGGTACCCGAGGAAGAGGCGGCCGCAGTGGCCGCCCTATTATTATAAATTATTATTTTTAAACTTAAATATATAGATAAAATTTAAAAAAATGTATCATTTTTTGTACAGGGTGTTTCCGATACATACACATTATGTCGGGTTGCCTATCTGCTTACCAACAGGGGCATGTTTTATGAGAAAAGGAAGAAGTCGACATTATCACTCTGTACACACATACACATATCACACATACAGTGAACACTTGTGAAATTGGATAATATAGATAAAATTTATATTTAATAATATAGATAAAATAACATAAGTAAAATTTAATAATCAAATTTTGCTAAATTTTTACTAAAAAATATTTTTTAATTTATCTTTAATATAATTTTTATTTATAAATATAATAAGTTATATAATAAATTTTATCTATAAATATAATATTTATAAATTATATAATACATTTTGGTACATATAATAAGTCATAAAATAAATTTATTATATGACTTATATTTTTATTATAATAATATAAATTTATTATGACTTATTGTATTTAATATACATTTATTATATGACTTATTATATTTATAGATAAAAATTATAAGATAAATCAAAAAATATTTTTTAGTAAAATTTTAGTAAAATTGGTTATTATTTTTTACTGATGTTATTTTATATATATTATTAAATATATATTTTATCTATATTATCTAATTTCATAAGTGTTCATTGTATATGTATATAGAGTGATAAAGTCGACTTCTTTTTCTAAAGCATGCCCCTGTCTGTAAGCAGATAGCCAACCCGACATAATGATGTGTATGTATCGGAAATTCCCTGTACAAATTTATTTTTCGGCGTCCGACAAGCGGTACGAAGTCTGCGCATGTCAGGCTCGCGTTAATACAATATCATTGCATATCGTACTATCGGTATAGCACTGGCGGAGGCGTACTGTGGCGATTATATCGACACATTCAACCTTAATAATCGAATCACATACGAAGGTGGATCAATAAGTGTTTGCAGACAAGTGACATTGCTGAAGAAAGTTGACATTATCATCGTGTATTAGGTCCTACGCACAATAGGAAAATATTAAATATTAAATATTAAACAGGAGAGAGCGAGAGAGGGGGGGGGGGGGGAAAGAGGGAAGAGAGAGAGAGAGGATTTTTTCTCTCTCTCACTCGATCTGTTTAATATGTAGTATTTAATATTTAATAAGCTTAGAAAACTTGACTTCGACGTAACTAGCAAATTTTATTTAATTCTTTCACGACGTTTCGACCATTTGGTTGTGGTTCTTTTCAAGTGAAATTTCCATCAATTAAACTGAGATTAACGTAACATCACACTGGTGTTATTTAAAATCGAAAGTTAAAAGTCAAAAGAGGAACACGTCCCATCGTTATAATGTCGAGTCGTTGACGAAACATAACGATGGGACGTGTTCCTCTTTTAACTTTTAACTTTCGATTTTAAATAACACCAGTGTGATGTTACGTTAATCTCAGTTTAATTGATGGAAATTTCAGTTGAAAAAAACCACAACCAAATGGTCGAAACGTCGTAAAAGAATTAAATAAAATTTGCTAGTTACGTCGAAGTCAAGTTTTCTAAGCTTATTTTCACCACTAGCGAATATTAATTTTAATTAATATTAATTTTAATTGATTAATATTTAATATTTAATATTTAATATTTTTCCTATTGTGCGCAGGGCTTTATCATCTTTCAAACGACGATATTATAGTTTTGATTTGACAACCATTTGTATTAAACGTGTTACGTGTTTAGTATTTTTTGATACAATGAAAAAATAGCAATATCGATCCGCTTTTTACTTTTAGATGGGAAAACGTATAAAAAAATAAAGGCGAAGTTAGACGCTGTCTATGGGAATTCTTCAATCTATGACAAACCGTCATAAATTTTTTTCGGGCTCGCGGGGGATGCCGGAGCGATGGCCGAACTCCGATAGGTTAGCATCACACATATCTAAACATATGCACGTATACACATATACACATGATAGGTTAGCACCACACATATCTAAACATATGCACGTATACAACACATACGCGTAAAAATGTTTTTAATATATAACTTTTTTATTAGACTTGCAATCTCACTTTTAATCGTTTACTAATAATTCTTCATATTATCCTTACCGCGTATACTATATTTTATGCACAGACAAACTGCAGAACTTTTTATTAAATAAGTATTATTACGAACTGACACAAAAAAAGCTGATAACAAAACTGTAATTTTTGATTTTTATATAATTTATATATGCAAACATAGCTAGAGCGGTCCGTTTTTATAAGTATTTTAATCGTGGAAAAGGATTTATTGATCAGTATAGTCAATAAAAAGTTATATAAAAAAAACTAAATATTCTCGCATTCGGTCGGTAAAAACATCATCCGGCATCCCGCGAAATGTAATCTACTTGCTCTTGCAAAATTAAACAGTCTGATTTTTACATATTATATAAAGTCTCTTAAGTTATTTCACGATCCTACGCACCAATGAGAACTAAAACATTTTACCAAAAATGCATATTAACTAGAAACGCCAACATCAAAGGCAATATAATGCGTACAAATGCTATTCCATCTACTTGTATTTTTATACATCTAATAAAAATAAAACAGAAGAGAAACTGCTCAGGTTAATTTAACTACCGTGAGGAATTATTAGGCGGTACGAGGCAAGAATTAAAATAAAGAGAGGCGTTAATTACACACACATATATATATATATACGGTATATTCTCCGGTAACGAAAAGTCTTTATAAGAGTTTGTACATGATTTCGAAGATAGAAGTGAAATATAAATCGTTCGTATATATACGTTCGTACGCGGTTACAGTCGACAACCGAATCTCCCGAACGCAAAATCGTTCTTCCTATCTTTCGTCTCCTTCGAGAGGCTTCGAGAATTTTATATCCTTTTTATTTCCTTTGTCTCTTAACGTTTCGATATTTGTCTCTGTGCTTCTCGTCTTTCGTCTCTCTGTCTCGTCTGTTATGTTTTGATTTGTATTTGCCTGTGTCTCGATACTTTTTCGCATGTGTGTGTCTGTATTCGTATGAATGTTTTCGATCGCTAATTTTCGGGATGTATGTGACGATGTAATCGTCATATTAGTATAAATAAACAAAACATTTTAGATAAAGACATAATAATAAAAATATTTGCATTTCTTATTTATTGCAATTAGAGTGAAAAGAACATTAAGTGAGAATAGTTTTCCAGTCTTAACTACTCTACGTTTTTCTCGTTCAAATTGCTTATATATTTTAAAAGAATTTGTAAGGAGAATTTTAAATTAAAAAACTGGATTAGAATTAGATGCTTTCACTTAGAATCAATTAAACAAAAAATTATAATTTATAAATTAATTATATTTATAAGCTGTACAGTTTTAAAAAAAATGCTTATTCCTAAATTAAGTTTTATAAACTTTATTTACTTGGAAACTGAACTAATAACTATCTTATTGAGTATATAAAATTAATTATTTTATTTCAGAAAAGAAAATCGGTTGATATTTGTACGCAAGTTTCGCCAAAGAGAATTAAAAAAAAAAAAACAATAACAGAGAAAGAAATAAACTTGAAAAGAGAAGTGTATATTTTACGAAAACGCCTACATTGTCGGGACAAAAGCATTAAAACAGTGAATAATATTATTGATATTCCAAAAACACATAATGTATGTAATTTAAATCTTGAACAATTATTACGTAATACTTTTAGTGGCTTGAAATTAGAAGTTATTTAAATAAATGTAATAATAATGTGGCGATTACATCGTCACATACTTCCCTGAAATAAACGAGCGATAAACACGTATACAAACACGGTCACCGAGACATAAATAAATAGAAATAAATATAACAGACGAGACGAAAGACGAGTAGTACAGAAACAAAGCAAGTAAAACATATAGAAAATTCGCGAAGCCTCTCGAAGTCTAGCGAAGGGCGTTTTGAGGCAAGAGATAGGTAAAACATTGTTACATGCGAAAGATTCCGTTCTTGACAGTCGCCGCGTACGGACGCACATTATAAATCCGAACGATCGTATATGCATGTATCGACATTTAAAGTTGTGTTCAAGAATATACTTTGAATTATATGCAATTACTGTCTCATCATTCTTTAATTCCCGACTCGTATCGAAGCGAATAAGTAATCGCGCCGCGCGAGACGAAAGTAACGCGCGAAAACACTAAAGTGGTGACGTCCCGACGTGATCGCGAACGAGCGGGAATTCGTGATTTTTGTGATCACACGGATTATCAGTGCAGTGGTGTGCAATGGTGGTGACACGAGACGAAGAAACGAGCGCTCCGCTGACGGAGCCGGAAGCACGAGTGCTGGAGCAGCCGCGACTCCACGGAATGCCGATGAATCTGCTCGGGATGCAACCGGCGAGATACGAACAGCCGCTAGAGTATTTTTACCCGCCCCTGAGGTGAGCAGCGTGGGCATGCGGATGCCAGAGTTCACGCCGTCAGACTCTGAACTCTGGTTCAGTATCGTCGACCGGAGTTTCCAAGCCGCCGGAATCACGGTTGACGCGACGAAATTCGGTTACGCGCTGACGGCATCGGACCGCGCTATACGGTCGAAGTGCGCGACGTGATCATGAATCCGCCCGCGGAACGCGCATATGAGACTCTAAAATCGGAGCTGATTAAACGGCTCAGCTTGTCGCAGGAGCACAAAACCCGAAGACTCCTCGAGCACGAAGAAATCGGGGATCGTAAGCCGTCGTAGTTCTTGCGGCACCTGCGCGGTCTCGCCGGAAGTGTCGTGGGCGACCAGGTCTTACGAACGATCTGGCTGAGTCGGCTGCCGGCGTACATTCAGCCGCATTTAGTGACGCGAACGGAGGACACGCCAGAACAGTTGACGGATATCGCAGACGCGATAATCGAGGCGACCCGGGCGCCGGTGTTCCAAGTAGCGGAGGCGGCGAGAGCCGTAGCGCCTCAGAGACAAAGCGCGAGTGATCCCGCGTCTCTAGAAGCGGAATTCGAGGTGCGGCTGGCGCAGATGCGGCTGACGATGCAGCAGGAGATCGCGGAGCAGATGGCGGCAATTCGAAAATCAATTGAGGCGATCGGCAGTGAGCGCTATCGAGGAGGTCGAGATGACGATCGACGTCGTCCGCGTTCGCGTTCGCGCCCGTGCACGCGATCGGGAGGTCGCGATCCGCCGGCCAGTGGTATGTGCTGGTATCACTGGCAATTCGGGGCGGATGCTAGACAATGCAGAGCACCCTGCTCGATGTAGCAGGGAACGCAGGGGCCGGTCGCTAGTGGCGGCGAGCGACTCAGGCCACGGTACGCGACGCCTATTTGTGACCGACGCAAGCTCTAAAGTGACTTTTTAATCGACACAGGTGAAGATCTCTGCGTGTATCCTCGGAAGATGGTTCGAGGCCCACGACAGAGATCCACCTACGAACTTTCGGCCGCCAATGGTACACCAATTTTTACGTATGAAACGGAGACTTTACAATTAAATTTCGGATTACGACGGGCGTTTTCGTGGCAGTTCATGGTCGCGGACGTCTCGAGACCGATAATCGGCGCCGATTTTCTCTCGCATTACGGGCTGCTGGTGGACTTACGCGGATCGCGTCTGATTGATCAACTGACGAGTCTAACCGCGCGTGGACGTTGCATCCAGTGTGATGCACCCAGCGTCAAGACAATTACGGGAGAGACTCAGTACCACCGATTGCTGGAGCAGTACGCAGACATCGCGAGGCCGGACGGGCGTCCGGGAGGCGCGATCCATGCCACGCGGCATTATATAGAAACGACACCGGGACCACCCGTCGCGTGCAGACCGCGGAGACTCGCTCCGGACCGATTGGCGGCGGCAAAACAAGAATTTCGGAAAATGGTGGAAGCCGGGGTCGCACGACCTTCGAATAGTTGCTGGTCGGCTCCCCTGCACATGGTGCCAAAGAAAGGCGAGGAATGGCGGCCCTGCGGAGACTACAGGGCATTAAACGCGCGAATGATCCCTGATTGCTACCCGGTGCGACACATACAGAATTTCGCGCAGGCTCACGCCGGAAAGACAGTCTTTACAACGTTGGATTTGGTGCGCGCGTATCACCAGATTCCGGTTGCGGAAAGAGACGTGCCGAAAACGGCGATCACCACGCCGTTCGGCATGTACGAATTTCCGTACATGTCGTTCGAATTATGCAACGCGGCGCAGACATTCCAGCGCTTCATAGATGAGGTTCTGCGCGATTTCGATTTTTGTTACGCATACATCGATGACATCCTCGTCGCGTCATCATCGGAGGAAGAACATCGCGAACACCTGCGAATGTTGTTCGAGCGCCTACGAGAATACGGGGTCATCAACCACGCGAAGTGTAAATTCGGCCAGAGTAGCGTGAAATTCCTCGGATACGAGGTTTCCGAAGAAGGAACTCGCCCGCTGCCGGCGCGGGTGGAGGCGATACTGGCGATGCAGTCGCCGAGGACGGCGAAGGAACTTCGGTGATATTTGGGCATGGTGAACTTCTATAGGAGGTTCATGCCCAAGGCCGCCGAAATATTGACGCCCCTGAACGACCTTCTACAGGGAAATATTAAAGGAAAGGCGACGATATCGTGGACGGCGCGGGCTCAACAGGCATTCGAGGCATCGAAGACAAATCTAGCCCAAGCTGCACTGTTGAGACACCCCAGGGTAAACACGGAGCTCGCTTTGTTTACCGACGCGTTCGAACAAAGCATCGGCGCGTTGTTACAACAACGAGGCAATGATGGCTGGGAACCATTGGCGTTTTTCTCGAAAAGGCTAAGCCCAACCGAAACGAAATACAGCGCGTTCGATCGAGAGCTGTTGGCAGTTTACCTGGCGGTGAAGAACTTTCGGCACATGGTGGAAGCCCGCACGTTCACGATATACACGGACCACAAACCAATAATCTACGCATTCCGCCAGAAGCCCGAAAGAGCACGCCGCGACAGTTCCGCTACCTGGACTACATCGGGCAATTCACCACCGACATTCGACATGTGGCGGGCGTGGAAAACGTCGTGGCCGACGCGCTGTCGAGGATCGAGGAGCTCAATTCTCCCCTGGATTACACCGCGTTGGCGGAATCGCAGGAGAAGGACGAGGAGATTGAAAAATACCTGCGGCGAGAGTCCGGGCTGAAACTCAGCAGGGTAGAGATTCCCGGAAGCGGAAGAGAAATTTATTGCGACACGGCAACAACAACACCACGACCATTTTTGACAAGGCCTTTTCGCCGGGCCGCATTTGACCTAGTACACAATTTGGCGCACCCAGGGATAAAAGCGACGGGCAAGCTCGTGGCACAACGCTACGTTTGGCCGTCTATGAACGCCGACTGCCGTGTCTGGGCTCGAGCATGTGTGCCTGGCCAACAATCAAAGGTATCACGACACGTGTCAGCACCGCTCGGAACAATTGCTGCGCCATCCAGCAGGTTCGAGCATATTCACCTGGACATCATCTTGATGCCGGTCTCGGAGGGCAAACGATATTGCCTGACGTGCGTGAATCGTTTCGCACGATGGCCGGAGGCGTTCCCGTTACGAGACCAGGAAGCAGAGACGGTCGCGAGAGCCTTCTACGAAGGGTGGATCTGCCGGTTTGGAGCGCCTCTATGGATCACGACGGACCAGGACCGTCAATTCGAGTCCAGGCTTTTCCGGCGGTTGAGCGAGCTCACGGGAGCACGCCACCTAAGGACGACGGCATACCAGGCGAACGCAGGCGAACGGGATGGTCGAGCGATTTCACCGACAGCTCAAAGCAGCGATCAGATGTTAGCAGAACGACCGCTGGACCGAGGTGCTGCCGACGGTGTTGCTCGGGATCCGGGCAGCCTGGAAGGACGACATGCAAACGACCGCGGCCGAGATGATATATGGCCAAACATTGAGGATTCCGGGGCAGTTCCTGAATCGGCAACCGACGGAGGACGAGGACGACGCCGCCGACTTTGTTGGAAAGCTGCGGGAGCAGTTCGAGAAGCTGCGACCCGTGGATGGGACCCGGCACGGAGAACGACGACCATTTATCTATAAAGACCTGGCGACGGTCGAGCACGTGTTCGTGCGACACGACGGGCCGAGGACGATGCTACAGGCGCCGTACGAGGGACCATACGCGGTCATCAGCCGCAGCGAAAAAATCTTTGTCGTGCGCATGCACGGCAAGGAGAAAACGGTCTCGATAGACCGTCTTAAACCTGCTTATATTTTGCAGCCCGAAGCAGGAGACAGCAGCTCGGCAGAGGCGGCGACACGGAGCCGAGAGGGTGCGGTCGACGGACGGACGGCACGAGACCAGGACACCGAGGTCGAGCGGCGAGGCGCGCGAGAGGACGCGAGGCCGCTGCTCCGAGAGAGCGAGAGAACGACGAGAGCGGGGAGAAAGGTCCGATTCCCGAGTCGATTTCAGGCGGGCCTGTAACACCGGGGAACCAAGATGTGCAGTGCGAAGCCGTGAGAAATCGCCGCGAAAAATAAAAAAAAATTAAAAAAAAGGACATATATTTCTCGCGATTTCAATTTTTGTCTGATTTCGTTCTCGCGAAAAGTTTTAGTACGATCGACATGAACCGCGGAACGCGAAAAGAAAAATTCGACGCGCATCAGAAGCTTATATTTATATTCAGCGTTTTATTTTTTAAATATAAATTGACGAGTCTCAGACCGAGAGCGACGTGCGTAGAATAGCGATAAATACATCGAAATTTGTTTATGTATAGGTACTAGGTTGTCGATATTATTTATTATTACATTATTGTTATTTATTATTATTTATTATTACATTATTGTTATTTATTATTATTTATTATTATTTTATTGTCACGTCACATTTATTCTCGACTTTGCGCTTCGAATTCATAACGGCGAGCAAAATTTTAGAATTCGTCTCGGTCTGCCATCGGGAAAAAACTATCGCGGAAACAGTGCAATATTCGGGCGATATCGTGCTATCGGTATAGCACTGGCGGGGGAGTACTGTGGCGATTACATCGTCACATACTTCCCTGAAATAAACGAGCGATAAACACGTATACGAATACGGTCACCGAGACATAAATAAATAGAAATAAATATAACAGACGAGACGAAAGACGAGTAGTACAGAAACAAAGCAAGTAAAATATATAGAAAATTCGCGAAGCCTCTCGAAGCCTAGCGAAGGGCGTTTTGAGGCAAGAGATAGATAAAACATTGTTACATGCAAAAGATTCCGTTCTTGACAGTCGCCGCGTACGGACGCACATTGTAAATCCGAACGATTATATATGCATGTATCGACATTTAAAGTTGTGTTCAAGAATATACTTTGAATTATATGCAATTACTGTCTCATCATTCTTTAATTCCCGACTCGTATCGAAGCGAATAAGTAATTGCGCCGCGCGAGACGAAAGTAACGCGCGAAAACACTAAAATAATAATAATATTGCTCTAATACAGAGACATCAGAAATGAAGCAATTTGCATTAAGTAGTTGTTTTCCAACTATATTAGTCAAAATTAGACTTCGAAAAATAAAGTGCAATAAACGATGAATTCTTTTATATTAAATTTAAAAACAGATTTTTAAACATTATTGCTTCTTTTATAATATTAAAAACTAGTAAAATAAAAAGTTACATAAAATAAAATAGTATGTTGAATTGCGTAGTGTTTTCGGAACGAAGATCGTGGCATCGTCGCGTTTGATCGCGGAAACGTCATAAATATTGTCATAACGATTCTTATTATAAAATTGTAATTTGTGAATTGTAATTGTGAAAAATATTTGAATTCTTATAATGTGGAAAGTCAATTACGGCATAAAAGGCGTTTTATTAAAAGAAGTATTAGAACAAAAGCAAAAACGCAAAGAAATGTTAACTAAAAAACAAATAGAATGGCATAACTATACTTCAAATAAAAAACGGTATCCATGTAAAGAAAATCGTATTGTCAATTTGCGATTGCTTCGTAAAAATCTGAAATGTCGGAATTGTGAAAGTGTTATCTTTGGAAGATGTTGAAGAAGAAAAAGGACAGGGCTGCATTCTATATTCCTTGTCAAGTATAATATTTGCTCAATATTTACGAACGTAGCTACAGGAAATCAACATGTGGGAAACGATAATACAAAACGTTTTGTCAAAGTTAATATATATACAACGATGTAACGACGAATGCTGTATTAGGTAAATATTAAAAATATTTATATATTTTAATATATATATATATATATATATATATATATATTTAATTTATATGAAATATTTTAAAGTTATTTCTGATATAATATTTTTTTATATAATATAATTGCATTATGTTTTATATTAGTAGACAACACAAGCGCGCACTTCGCGCGCGCTATTGATTTTGTATATGTGCTTTGATTTGATATATATATATATATATATATATATATATATTTATATCACGCGTGCGCGTAAATGCCTATTTTGCGCACTGTTTTCCGTTCGCAAAGTAGCCATTTTCACACGCAACACACTACAGACGCTTCAAAACCATTATTTCACGCTTCAAACTTATTATTTCACGCTTCAAACCCATTATTTCATGCTACAAGCTCATTATTTCACGCTGCAAATGCTACATTCGCTACAAACACTTTCTTCCTAACGCCATCTCGCAGCGCGCAACCGCCACTACGTCCCCATTCCAGTCTTTTGCATTGCATCAATCTAATTGAAACGAGTCAATATAAAAAAACCAATATGACATCGAACATCACATTTGACAACAGTGAAAATGAATCACCTCCAGAAATTACAGAAATGGCAAGAAACACCATAGAAAATCTCTTGCCTGAAAAATCAAAAGAAAAATATACAGCTGCATACAACAAATTTATAACCTGGATAACTGTCAAAAATATAAGATCATTTTCTCTTTATATTTCATATAGCTTTCTCTTTTGCGGGGGGCTCCGCCCCCGCAGGCCCCCCGCCAGGGGGCTTCGCCCCCTGGACCCCCCCCATTGCGTTTTATTCCCTCGCCTACTTCCACCCTCTCATTCCACATAGTTCGCACTCATGATATAAAGTAGTATGTGATACACGTACGAGTTGGCAATTGTCGCACTTGTATCACAATATACTAATATATATATATACATATAAGTAGAACCCAAGAGCTCCGAGGGGGGAGCGGGGCAAGGAGGACCTGTGGTGCAGGGGAATGACGTCATGCGGACAGGGGCATTCGCGAGTTTAGGGTCCGCGAGCATAGACATAGTGGGTGCGTTTGAAAATACATTTTATTGGGATTGAGAAAAAAAATAAAATTGGCAGTATTGAAAAAAAATTTGGTTGGCAGTAATTCCCAGTGCTGCGTTTCGTTTCTCCCACTGGGACCGTTGAAATTGATTGTGAAGAACAAAAAGTGCTACTTGTACGAAAGATAAAAATTGCTACTATAAGGTATGAAAGAGATAAATAATTAGTTAGTAAAATATATATGTATAGTTATATGTAATAATTAAATGTAATTATCGTAATTGAATACATAAAATAAAATAAATCTAAGAGTTTTAACAAGGCTCTGTAATATAAATATAAATTTAACGTATAAGACGGGCAACAAGAGCCAAATCGCGGATGACAATGCGTTATCCTAACGAAACTAAATAATTTTCCATTAGAATTAAATACCGGTGCACAAGGCACCAAATTTTACTTGGACACGGCCAAGATTTTAAATATGAAATAATCTCATATTTTGAGATTTAATTTCAATACCCCTTTTAACCCCCCTACGGAAAATTATTTAGTTTCGTTAGGATAACGCATTGTCATCCGCGATTTGGCTCTTGTTGCCCGTCTTATACGTTAAAATAAATCTATTCTAACCTTTTTTAATATACATTCCTCTTTCTCTTCTTTTCATAAATTATTCTTTTTAATATTTAAGCATAATTCTATAATATTTACAGATTATCTCTCTTGTTATACTATAAAACAAATATAAAAAAATGAAATCTGTGCAATCCACAAAGAAAAACAACCTTCGTAAATCAAGAGACACGGTAGTGTCTCGCGACCAGTTAAGGGCGTAGCGGAGACACCGTGTATCTTAACGCGAGTCGGACATTTGAGTCTTTATAATATTTCGAATCCTCAATAATGGCTGAAGCAATCGAGTTTATACTAGACTTAATCGATAGATTGAATTCGAATTATATAATAAAAGTGTCTTTATTTCTGCTCTACGTGATTTGTAAGCAGAGATATATAAATGCAAAGTCGAAATATGAAAAATTTCTATTAAGAAACGTCCCCGTCATCATTATCATCATCGACCACGCATACATAGTAGTATCGTGTTACACGTATTCACACGTATACAACACATGCGCACACATATATCACACGTACACAACACATGCAAGATGCATGTAGTGGTAATTTTGTCCATCTCGCACGTTTTACAACAGATGGCGATAGTGGCGCTCCGCCATATCGGCAGCGTGCGGGGTTATGTTGGTTAACTCTCTCTCTCTCTCTCTCTCTCTCTCTCTCTCTCTCTCTCTCTCTCTCTCTCTCTCTCACACACACACACACACACTCTCTCATTCTCACTCACTCACTCACTGTTCGTCTTGTGTACTTATTTAGTACATTCATGATTAAACATCTATATGCATTAATGTGAAATTTACTTACAATTAGTTTACTTGAAATATTCAATCTCTAAAGTGTTTATCTTATAAGATAGACAAAAAAATCTGAGTAAATAATAAGAAAAAAAAAAAAGGATTATTATTGTCATAATTTTTTATCAATTAAGTACTCTCAACTATCCAATAATTAAATAAATACGTACAAATGTGCGCGCGTGTACACACATACACATATTGATATTAAAGAGATTGAAGGAGAGGAAGGAGAAGATAAAAATTTAAATATTCACATATATTTTCAAATATTATATATGAATTTATAGTTTACATATCTAATTAATAATGAATTTCTAATTATATTAAACATATCAAAATAAAGACATACATGTATTTATCAAATGAATAAAATTATTGAATACAGACTTAAAAAATTTATTAAACATAGACTTAAAAAATTAATTAATTAAACATATTCCAAATTTAGAAAAAATAAACTTTATTTATATATGCAACAGCTTTTTAAACTAAATTTTTAAATTCTATTTTATATTAGACAATTATCTCAATCAACATCTACGTCCACATTAGCTGCACTGCAGACTACCTCTACAGCCACATTATCTGCTCCGCGGATATAGCGTTATGCCAATACGATACATTACATGTACTTACTTACTTGCCTTTACTGTACCAACTCTTGTTCTTTCCACGTAATCATGTTTTTACAGTTATCGTTTGCTGTATATCTTCCAGCAAACTTTATTTCGTGTGAAGTGTATTTAATTAATTAAATCTCTGCGAAAGAT